GTTCATCCAGCTCTACACCTTGTTATCTCAGATTCTCCAGCATCTGCAGTTCCTACTATCTCTGAAACAGCATGCAGCTCCTAGTTTGTCCCAAAATTCACTTGGCCCAGCAAAGTACACAACAATAATACTTACCTGTCAGCAGATCCAGCAGCTATTTTGCTTCCATCAGTTGACCATGAACATCTCAAGAGGTTCTGCAAGAAGTTGTATAATGTCAAGGGAACAGTACTTTAATATTGACGTGATGTGACACTGGTTCCCAACACCTCACTGAAAGGCTCACAAGCTATAGAACCAACACAACACTGCTCACACCAGATTATTCAAGTGAATCTATAAACTTAAACAAATAATGTTAAGTGATTTGAAAGATTCCACTATGGGCTTTCTGCATTTATCATCATCAGTGGCTTAGAAATTTCTCGTTGTTGAACTTTTTAAAACTACTTTAACCATTTGATAAAATAAAAAAAACTGTAATAAACCCTTTTTCTACCATTTAGCGCAACTTTATGTTGTATATTCCAGACATTTCATTCCCACCTCATAATGAATCAGTATTTACAAAAAGAACATCCAAGAGGCCAACAGATTTTTTTTTTATATAAAAAGATGTCCCGGTGTTATTTTTTGTTTTACTAAGATAATACCTACCTTTTCAAAATTATGCACATTACCCTGGAATATTTTTACACATCTCTCTTTTGGAGCAAATGGACGGATATCCCAGACCCGTACTGTAAATCCAAACAAAAAAAAAAATCATTAAATTTCAGCAAACAAACTTTTTTTTCTGATTTAGAAATATGCTTTTATGTTTCTAAAGACAAAACTAACACTAATCAGAGAACACCATCAGCCTTCTATACTATGTTGTTATGTGACGTGCATGAACCTTCACTCAAGCAACAATAATCAACTCAAGCCATTTAATGCACATTAATCTCAACAATTTAAAAATAAAACCAGAAGAGCTAAAATGAACAGTTCAGCTCATTAGAGGCACACCAGACAGACTTCAAACTTCCAGATGCAATCTCCGACCTGTGGTGGGTTAGCCAGTCTCAGCTAGGACATTGTTTGTGGAGCTATAATTCGCCTTAAAGGATGTACATTCAGAAGGAAAAGTCCAACAACGTTCCCATTCCTCGTCACCACTTATAAAGCCTACTAAGTGAGTCAGTGGATACTGGACCCAGAGAGGAACAGCCTAGATTGCTTCCACTAAAATCTCTAGCAGTCAAATCGCAATGTGTATGTCACAAATGACCTATTACACAAGACACTGCAGAGCAACTGACATCAGTGGCACATACTCTAAAAACAAGACACTGACTTCCATAAGGAAGATAGAGTAAGTTGGTGGGGTAAATTACACGAGAAACAAACACTAAACACTAAAAGAAGAATGTATGAAGTGTGAAAAATACAGTATAGTGTACAACTTGTTTGATGTTGCGAGCAGCTAAGACACACTGTTTAATAAGGTCAGAGATTTAATTTCCAATTTGCAGAGTCCACTTTCAGCTGATGCAGCAATTGGCGACACAAAGTAACCCCAGAAAACGTGGTGAATATGTGAGAGCCTTTGTGCATTTGTTCTTTCACTCAAACATCTAAACAAAATGCTTCTTAGTCCTGCCAATTGGCAAAATTATCGTCTGAAAATCAGAAGGCTTTTGGTTGAAGCTTTGCCCTAGGATCCAAGCACGTAATGTTGATTGATATTCCAGTGCTGTACTTGCTGTAACCAGCATCAAGTCCATTGGTCTTCACAGATGATTCAAGCAGCAGTAGGGGACTGTAGAAGTCTGACTAGCTATGATCAGAAATACATTGTTTCAAAGGGTAGTGATAGCAGTTTCAACTGTAAAAAAATCAAGGGAATTACAAGGACTCAAATACAATAAAAATCCTCAAAAAGCATCCACTATCCCTGGAGAAAATGAATGCTCCTTTTTGGTGCTGTATCAATTTACTCTTTTAGGAGCCTGTGTGCAAATTGGTCGAAAAGAATCTCACTTTAAAAACAGTGACTGCATCTTAAAGGTAATCCATTAGAAATTAAGTGAATTTGGGACATCTAAAGGACATAGACTTCAGATAGATATTATAAGCTTTCACAATATCACTCTTTCAGAAGAATACATGCATGTTCCCAACTGTCTTGCTTAATTATTATTTCATTGTCAGGCTCTTCAAGAAAAGAACAGTCAGCCACCTCTGCCCTTCTTTAGAGAAAGTAGTTACACTTTTATTACCTGTATTGTCCATTGAATTAGAAAGGAGGTAAGAGCCATCTCCACTTAGAGCCAAGCCAGTCACAGAATCTGTATGACCACGCATAGTATAAATTAACTTGTTTTGTCGGAGGTCCCAAACCTAACAGGAAAAGAAAGCAAGGTAACTTTAATCTAATCAGTTATTTTCCATAAATAATATTTTAAGCACAAACATTGTTTTTCCAAATCTAAAATTAGACAGAGCACAGTCAAAGTTCATTTATTCTTTTTGCAGTCTGCAAAGTGAATTCAGTATATTATACTTTATAAGATGTGCTCCTCCACGCAATTGGCAGTTTGTGTCAGAATGTACAAGTGCCCCTAAATTTTACAAACCTACACAGCCGTTTGATAGGATTACTCCTTGGCTATCTCAAATATCCAGAATGCTAACTCCCTTAACCAGTTTAAAGTTACCCTACCAATACCTATTTATAAAATAATTGCTGCACAGATTCTTCATTTTTTGGCAAACATTTTGATTTATCTGATTTTTTTCCAGAGATTTATGCTCCAAGCAATGGATTCAGGCAGCGTGCAAAGCAACAGATAAACAATTCATTAGCCCCGTAAGACATTTCAAACTCAGCGATTTATACATTTTTAAAATTCATTCAGGGGAATTGGGCTTTCTGGCTGGGCCAGCATTTAGTGCCCATCCTCAATTGCTGTTGAGGTGGTGGCCTTCTTGAAGTGCTGCTGCCCAATTGGTGTAGGTACATTCATAATTCTCTTCAGAGGGGATTCCAGTTGACCAAGTGATTGTGAAGAAATGGTGATGCATTTCCCACTCACCATTGGAAAAACACTGGCAGGTCCCACATCCAAATACCAACAATGTGCTATTTGATAATGAATGGCAGCCAACTTCACTGTAAAGGATAGACAAATGAGTTCAATTCTTCTCACAAAGAATACACACACACTCATTCACTCAACTGGATTGTTGTTTAATGACCGAGGGAAGACCAAGTTTAGCTTTTGCCCCCACTTCTGAAAGCCAGTGAAGCACAAAACTGCTTCAGCGTAAAGTTAAATAATTCAGCACATTTTAAGGACAGAAATATAGAGAATTTCATGGCCTGTTTGGCTAAACAGGTTATGCCATCAAGAATGCCATTAGGATATTATTACATTATTCCCAAAAGCTCTCGGTGACCATTAAAGATTGATATACTGGAGAAACAGATCATTGTTTGTGAATATCTCCTGAACAGTATTAGTTCAAGATTGAGAATTTTTTGGCAATATTAAAAATCGGGTCAATTGTAGCCCTTAAATGCCTGCCAAGCGACACCATGTGACTGGATTAAAGCCAATCTGCTACAAAGCAATCAATGTCCCA